CGTAGCAGAAGAGTCAAGCAATGTATCACTGCCAAAATATGGACAGTGATAGCCCTCACTTATCGACAGCAACTGCCCCCTACTTATCGCTCTCGTCGGCAGTTCCAGAAGCAGTGGATAGATACCATTGCCGAAGCTTTTTCGCGTAAAGCGACTCCTGCTCGCCATACTCGACGGGAGGGCCTCTCACCTCAACAGTTGACTCCGCGTCGCCACTCGATGGAGACTTCCAAACCGCCCAGGCTGACTGAAGGGTAGCCACCGCCAAATATTTTGACTTGCGCATGGTGACCTTTAAACATAATATTAGTATACATTCCATCGTGGCACAAGCAAAGCACTCACATAGAAGTTCCTGAATAACACGACATCTCCTGGCTTAACAATAGGCAAAGCTTGCTCAAACATTCGACTAACATAAACCTTTAAAGTCTCTCCCCGAGGATACGATGGGTCAGTGATATAGACGTAAACATAACACTGTCTACCTTTCGCTTCCTTGTGCTTATCCTCGTCCACTTCTATCCATCTAGTCGGCGTCACTGACGTTACAGCTCCAATAAAATCGCCGAGGTATTGCATACGGATCAGGTCAAGAGCCGGATAATCCGAAATCTGCGGCGTGTTAGAAAATATCTTTACAACACACTATCGCACGGTAATGAGACATATCAGTACGTACAGCGGTGTTCAATCCTGCAGGCATCCGTCCCTCACCTTTACTACCCTTTCCCTGCGCGTACTGGACAGCGACCAAATTTGTCCTTTTCAACGAATTGCTCTCCACAACTGTATCAATTGAAACAGATGTGGTCTTCGCAGCCGTGGGACCGGCCACAATACCTTCCTCCAATTTACGCAGTCGTTCTTCCTCGGCACCTATCGAATCGACATTTTCGCCCGTAACCTCGCTATCTAGCATACTACTGGTACTATATGAGTCTCCATCGTCCTGCTCCTCATACTGATCCGCGGATTCTTCGCCTGCATATTTAGCAGACTCCAAGTAGCTTTCTGCCTGGGCTTCCAGTTGGCCTATGGAGATATCTAACTGCTGTAGAGCATATTCCTCCGGTGATATCGCGACCATATCTATCGCGACCAGGTCTTCAAGAGGTGGGCTTTGACCTCCTTCATCCTGCTGCTTTTTGCGCTCTTCCTTCTCTGGGACTATAGGTTGTTCGAAATCTGCGTTTTCTCCATCATCTTGCGTAACAGCACCCAATTGTAGTTGATCCTCACCACATTCTTTGGACGTGTCACTATCAATCTCAATAACCTCTAACGCCGTTATCGGCGCAACTAAAGTCCCTGATGAACTCAAAGAGATAGGCTGCTGTTCTGGTGTACTCTCGTCTTCTTCCACAGATGTATCGTCACGTGATCCACTGCCTGAAGGTGATGATGTCGCATCATCAGCCTGTGACGCAAACCCTTCCTCCTCTTCATCGGCCTCTTCGTTATCGTGGTCATCGTCTTCCCGTTCAGAAACTGCTTGTAGAAACAGGGCCTGAGTGGCCAATGCCCGTAATTCATCCCTAACTTCTGCAACAACCATCTCTTCGTCTTCACCATGCAAAGGATTAGGAAGTTGTGTTTCAAAATCCATCAGGTACATAAGGGGATCGACTTTTTCAGTATCATCATTAGCCTCAATACCAGTTGGGCTCTGAGTACTGATATTCTCCTCAGAAATAGGCACAGCGTGATCCCTACCGACCACATGCTCCATAGCAACCTCCTCTGGGGCGGGCTTTTCAACTTCAGTCGTCACCAATTCCTCTTCCACAAACACAATGTCGCCCTTAGCAACGATAAGCTCGAGTCTTCCAATATTTGAAAATACGCCGCCAGGCGCTCCATCCACGGCGGCATCATCAGTGACTTCGGCAGAAGAGGCTTCAATGACGTCATCCTTATTAACGACTTCTTCGTCAAGAATAACTTCGAGTGCTGGAAAGGCATTAAAAGGCCCAGACTCAATATCGTGTGATAAATGCGCGTTAGTCATCAGCGGTGTCATAATCGCCTCAACCAGTGGAGTATTATAAATAATCTCCGCATCCACCGTCTCATCTTCAAGATCTGTAATTTCCGGATGTGATTGCGTAGGAAACGAACCCTCTGGCTGCGACGGTAGCTCTTGCAAAATCACTGGTTCGGGTGCGACCTGGTCTTTAATAATTGGTGGTGAAGATCTGAGTGTCCCTCGTTGGGGTAGACTCGACCTGACTTCCAACCCTTCTAACTGTGTCTGTGATGATTGAGCATTGATTTCTGGAGGTCTAATTTTCAGAAATTCGGATGTCTGAGCCGACGATATATCAGATTGAACCTCGTTAAACTCTTGCGAGGGTTCAAAAGACGAAGGATTTGGCGGTAATTCGTCGTTGCCGATCACGTCCGGTATATCAGTTTCGTCGGCAACTTCCTCTAGCGTGACCTCGTGTCCTGAAAAAGTTGCTACCGGAAGGGCACTTGGCTGGGAATCGATAACCTCGGTTGTAGTTAGACTCTGAGACCGCTCAGGTTCGATTGAGATATCCGCGAGAGTTTCTTCGTCGGCTGCAGGACCAGCCGCATCGACTTTCTTGGTTTCTGCTATTGGTTTTGGCACAGGCTGTGAGAGATCGCGAATAGTGGTGGCAGCCGATTCTGGCACGGTTTTCGCATCAGCAGTTGCCACTCCCACCGGCTCAGCTGGCGGAGACTTTGGTCCCGGCTCCGGCTTAGAAGTGGTCTGCGCAGCAGCCAGTTCGACTTGTTCCATAGCCGACATTTCATCCACATTGTCGCGCAAATAATCAATATTTTCTCGAGCCCACTCTTCTAGAGGACTTCGCACTCTCTCTGACCATCCAATACCGGGATATCGTGGAATGATATCGTCGTTCTCCGGTTCTGGCGCACTCTCCAGCACCACATGGTGGTGCTGCACATGTTTGAGCTCCTCAGCCGATTTGCTGGACTGGGCATCATCAACAGTTTTGCCACCGTCGCTACCCTCCACGCTTGCCGTGAATCCGTCAAATACGGTAGCTGCAGAACTGGCAATAAGGGAGTTTGATCCAGGATTCTGCAATTTCGCCTGTAATATCTCATAATACAGTTTCGATTGAGCTTTCTCCAAATTTTCCGACCGCTGGTCTTGGTCTTCATGAGTAACGGATTCTTGGTCAACTACGCTTCCAGCTTGGGTCACAACGCTGATGTCATCCAGTATAGATCGCACTCCTTCCTGTCCACTCAGCTGACTCTCTTCGAAATCCTTTTGTCTCATGAGATCCCTATATAGTTCGTTTTCATCGTGAAGCGATTCAGGGGGTTCTGCAGGTCTCACTATCGAAGCATCAGCGTTTTGAGGCACTCGTCTAAGGGTGGACGATTCAATACGAGCAGACAAAGACATACCAGTGACATTAATGACGGGAACAGTAGGCGACGACAGCTGCACTCGGTTCGTAACAGAAGCTTCTTTGGAGGACACCGGCGCCGGAACATGCTCCGGAACATGCTCGGTTTCAAGAATTCTGTGGGTTTGCAGAGTAGTATCGTCGTAGACCCATTCCGACGAGCTTCGACTGTGCTTTGAGCGCTTTCGTAATGGGCCAGCCATGTCATCATCAAACTCAAGGAATGCACCAGACGAGAACGTGTCATCGGAGGAAGGCCGCGGGCGACGGCGAAGAATATCTGGAGGCGTAAACCATACATTCGAGGTTCCGAAGGAGGACGACGATGGGGCAATGGATACGTTGCCCGAGATCGTCTGCGCCGTGGGCGTCGCTGGGGATGAAACTGCAGCTATCCATTCGTCATCTTCGACTTCGGACGATGCCGACCGAGTCTGATTTTCATCCGCAGTATCGTCTCGAACTATCTGAAGCGGTGCGCAATCGTTGATCTACATAATCATTATCTGATCAACGCATTTACAAATCACTATACTTACCTGAACAAGCGCTCCATTCTCCCAAACACACATCCAGTCTGAATCAAACTCAGATATCGCACTGGGCTCGCACCTTACAACTTGACTGCCCTTCAGCGCGATACGCAGTTTGTCTCCACTATTCATGAGCTCATCTGCGACCTTTCCAACAGATTTCCCTCCGAAGATTAATTTAATCTGCCCTTTACGGATCCGTTTAGAAATATCAGCGTCGCATAATTGGATAGAAAACTGGCGTGTCAAGGACGAGTATGGCCATATAAGCGAGATCTCACCGCTGAGAAAATGCGAGTCTGTTGCGTTCGTCGGTGACAATGAAGCAATTTCAAGTTCCTTGAGCTTATCAAATGAACTGAAACTGTCATTACGGGATGATTCCGTCGATGGCATGCTGAGGAGTTGTAACAAATGCTTCAGCTCAGATTCGACAAGGGATTCTTAATGGAGATTGAACAGTTCACAACCAGCTCAAATCTACTAACTGTATCTTGATAATGGTGGTATGGATAACCCCAGTTTGCAACTAATTGTCGGAAAGCAGCGATCTAGATTTGACGCGGTCAAATCAGTTGCACACCACGGCCGCACTACAGGACTGACCGACTAGGCCATCTATAAACAAATCAGAACTTACTTACCCCAAAAGAACGACTTCCCGAAGCCAATCGATCTCTAGCCGTTGCGCCTATACTATAACGCAGAATGGTAGGGTACTACTCAATGGCGATGTGCGTGAGTCGCGTTGTTGCTTTGACCATTGCTTCGGAGCGAGCAACGCCCTAACCCGCACTGCCGACGTGTCAATGGAACGTCAGCAAATTCTCCAAAACGTCATCGGCAAAATTTCCCAATTCTGTAGTACGAATCCAAAATTAAAACTCTAGTTCGTTTTTTAACATTTTTCTCGTTGTTGGCCATATTCTCAGAAGAATGTTTTGATTGCCAGCAACTTTTTCAGTTATAAGCCAACTTTGTGCTTGAGGTTCACGTCAAGCCCTAACCCAAAACTCAGTCAGTTGGGAGTAGGATCGTAATATCGGTCATGATCGGTCTTATGGCCCAGTTGGTTAAGGCATCGTGCTAATAACGCGAGGATCCGCGGTTCGATCCCGCGTAAGACCAGCTCCAATCAATGATTTTTTTTTGTATACGTCAACCTTGAAGTTGCTCCATTCTAGTAATAGAGTCGATTCCCTTGGTGTCGTCTCAACCTGGTCAAGGACTGATTTTAAGAAAGACCCAAAGTATCCTTTACGGTAAGGAAAATCCATTGCCCTCCAAATCGTTTTAGCCTCCGACGAACTCCACGCTTTTCGTCTCTGCCACTGCAAACAAACCAATTTTAGTCTTTCTTGAAACGATTATGATGACTACGCACCAGATGCTCTCTAAAGTATTTAACAAATTAGTGAGCTAAGGCTGCGGTACGGAACTGTAAACTTTACTAGGAGACTCGCATTTACTGCGTTTACTTGCGGCTTCAGATCGTTAAACCTTAATCTGCAGTAAGGGACTATAAGGCTAGGGTTGCGTATTTAGGAATGCCCCATGATCCTTTAACTTTTAAGGAACTGTGGCCAAACTTGTCTCGTATGTCTAATCTAGTACGAATTTAAGAGTAAATCAAGTATGTATTTAGGCACCAGTAGTTGGACTCGTCGCGGTATATCCTTCAAGGGATAGTGCTGAATGCTGCGAGCCGCTGGGGAGTGGACGCCAGGGACTATACTAAATAAAGTTTAAACGCCTTTGTGTCGTGATCCCGGGTCTCAGCGAAATGATATATTATGTCTCGTTTAAATGCAGCTGTATTTTATTCAGGTACCTTCGTAGCTTGGGTAAACGGGAATAGACGGTGTTTTTCGGCATTCCTGTGATTGGTTGCTCTGCATATGAGTTCCCGGCGCTATCTGGAAGTAGGCTCCAAAATATAATAAGTCATACGATCCGCGTCCTTGTCAGCCCATTATACATCGCCAGACTCTTGCTTAAATTCAGTGGCTCCCGTATAGGTCGTTTTGCCGGTTGTGGTCGTAGCATCCTACCATAAGGTTGCGTACAATATCGAACAATAGTTATTACCAGAGATCTATTGAGAAGCCATCTGCCGACACAATTGTCCTTCCGACTCTACGGGTCTGTGTTCGTTAGCAATTGGACGAGGTCTTTTGTACATTGCGTCTAGCTATGACGGCCGCTTTGATACAACGAGTCGCCGTGTTAGGTATTCTAGCTCATCGGGAGTGCCTTTTTCCAGACCCCTGAATCCATCGAAGGATCGCTATGAATAAATCGACGCCTTTACTAATGTACATTATTCAGGCGCCGGTGCAAGCGGCCTTGCAGCTACTAGGGCTCTTCTAGAGGAAAATTTTTTCAAAGAAATAAAGGTCTTTGAAAGGAATGCAAAAGCAGGCGGAGTATGGAATTACACCGACTGCATCGACCCGAACGTCAGCGTACCGTCGACCGACCCGTCGGTTTCCATGGAACCGCTTGTCGACGCGACGTCGAAAGTAAAGGCATGGGCAGGAGCTGCATACGATAATCTGGTATGGTGTCGTCCAATTTTTTTTTATCTCTCGTTGGTCATGGATTAAATTGTTCATAGGTTACGAACGTACCGTCGCCAATTATGCTTTTTGAGAGTCCAGATTACGACAAGGAATTCACATATTTTTCACATAGAAGTGCTATAGCAGACTTTCTCCAGCACTATGCCAACGAGTTCGAGGATCTTATTTCATATAATTCTAATGTCTTAGATGTTCGGAAGGAAGATAGAGCCTGGATTGTAACATATCACCTTGGAGAACTTGGTAGCTCACCACGAAAAGAATCATTTGATGCAGTCATCGTTGCTACTGGTTACTTTAATGTGCCATATGTGCCAGATGTTAAAGGCATTGCTGAATACTTGGAGAAGTATCCGGGAAGTGTCATACATTCTAAGATCTTTCGGACGCCTGAACCTTATAAGGACAAGGTCCACTACTTTTTCTTAAGACTTGGAAATTTTCTTGCTAATTATATATTTACAGACTATTTTGGTAGTCGGAAATGCTGCTAGTAGTATCGATATCTCTAATCAACTGGCTTCGGCCACAAGCAAGAAGGTGTACAAGTCAGTGAGAAGTGAGACTAATGCTCCTGGCAAACCAAATCCGTTGATAGAAGAGGTCACCGAAATAGATTACTTTGATCCGGAAGATAGAAGTATTCACCTAAAAGACGGAAAGATCTTGGACAATGTTGACGTCGTGATTTACGCAACGTAAGTGCTCGCTAATTGCAATTCACTCTCAGGTTGCTAATTGTATATAAGTGGGTATTTGCGAAGTCTGCCATTTTTGTCACAGATTAATGAGGGTAGTCATCCTCTTATTACGGACGGCTCCTACGTAAGGCATTTGTATTTGCATTTCGTGTATTGTGAGGATCCAACATTAGCTGTGCTTGGAACGCCAAGGTTTGTGTTACCGTTCAGAGTTTCTCAGGCTCAAGTACGTACAAATCCATAATTGTTAAAGCGCACGGGGCTCATCTGCATAGGCTTGCTATATAGCCCGTGTATGGTCCGGACGCTTGAAGCTTCCGCCAAAGGCAATAATGGACTATTTTATATGGAAGCGTGACCAGGAAGTAACTGACTCAAGGTCATTCCATGATCTCAAATATCCGGAAGACGCAGATTTCTGCGAGTATATTCTTGCACTCTGCCAACTGATTCCCGGAGATCATGGGGTGCTTCCGCGAAAATGGACAAAATTAGAACGGTCTCTTCGAAAAGACATTCGAGATTTAAAGGTTGCATTTACGCAATATCTTGACGACACGGGACGTTATGCTACAAGCAGAGAAGAGCTAGTGGAAGCGGGATTGTTGGGTCCATTAGAAATAGATGACTCAGAGGCTAACTTCTCCAGATTTGGTCAAGTCCTAAATGGGGATCAGTACACGGAGGAAGACATACTAGAGGCAACTAGAGACATGCTAGAGGGAGTTGAAATCAAGAATGAGTCGAATTTAGATTTGTAATGACCATTGATGTCATGTAATATTAATATTTTTGGAACACCTGAATTACTCAGCCACTGAAGACTCATCTGCTAGATTGCAGCGATCGATGGCAGTTGTTGTCTATTTTCTTCGTGTGAATTCCATAAGCAAATTTCCCAGAAAAAGATTTCAAAACCTCTGACTCGCTATTCATAAAACAATAAGTTAACTTACAGAACTAATAAATTATAACGTGGCGACTTCAGGGTTAGGGTATAATGCTTAGTTTTCGCGTGACACTCCACTGCCAGTGCGTAATTTTCTCACAGTACATAAGTCGTGATTTCTGAATGAATGCTGGCAATTTTGCACGGTTCTCGATATCGCCAGTTTTGACGTCTTTTAATTCCTGGAGGTAAGTTGTTTCGAAAACGCAACTGTGTTGGTGAGAGCAGATTTATTTGCTTGAGATGTCGTGGATGATATTAACTGTAGTTTGGGGGAAGACTCATATTCGCCGCCACACTTAGCCGCAATTCCAGTTCCCTCTCAAGCCGCGTACAATCATCCACTTTTCATTCGTTCCCCACTACTTATCTGTCGAATTCGAAAGACTCTAATTCTGTGAATATGGTTAATCCTGCTGATTGGCCTGCGAGCAAGGTGAGTAGTATTTCAATTATTAATTGTCGCTCATTCTAACTACTCACAGGTGCGGACTACTTTCTTGGACTACTTCGTAAAGAAGAGGGGCCACGCGTTCGTTCCGAGCTCGTCCGTTATCCCATACGATGATCCTACGCTTCTTTTCGCCAATGCAGATATGTGGTCCCCTGAAGTTCATTTTTTGACAGATTTGTACTGACTTCCTTTCTACGTATGAACCAGTACAAGGCTATCTTCTTGGGCAAGGTTGATCCTGCGAGCGATTTTGCGAAGCTAACACGTGCCACCAACTCTCAGAAAGTTTGTTACCAACTGTTCATGTATGCAATAGGCTAGTTGAGTGCTAACGATGTGGCGATGTAGTGTATTCGTGCTGGTGGCAAACACAATGGTAAGTTCCCGATATGGCAATTGCAACTCCTGGCAGTGGCAAAAAGCAATGAATGATTAATTGTGGCTAATATATGTCTAGATCTTGAGGATGTCGGTAAAGACGTATGTTCATTATTCTGGAGTGGTAGTTGTTATATGGATGGTTCCTAACAGATCGTGCCAGAGTTACCATCATACATTCTTCGAGATGCTTGGTATGCTCTCAATGCTCTGTTTAATAATAGCCTCGTGTCTTGCTTACTGTTGCTAGGTAATTGGTCTTTTGGTGATTATTTCAAGAACGAGGCAGTTGCTTGGTCGTGGGAACTTCTCATCGATGTCTACGGCCTTGATCCAGCGCGTCTCTATGCGACATATTTTGGTGGTGACGAAAAATCTGGTCTTGAGCCCGATTTGGAAACCAAGGAGTTATGGCGGAGTATTGGTCTCCCGGAGGATCATATTCTACCGGGCAACTTGAAGGACAACTTCTGGGAAATGGGTGATCAGGGACCATGCGGTCCTTGCAGCGAAGTCCATTATGACAGAATTGGCGGACGAAATGCGGCACATCTGGTCAACATGGATGATCCTAACGTTCTCGAGATCTGGAACAATGTCTTTATCCAATTTAACCGCGAGGCTGACGGATCTCTTCGAAGTTTGCCCGCTAAGCACGTGGACACTGGTATGGGTTTTGAGCGCCTCGTCTCTGTTCTGCAGGACAAGCTCTCCAACTACGACACCGATGTCTTTACACCGTTGTTTGCCAAGATCCAGGAATTAACCGGTGCGCGACCATATACTGGAAAATTCGGTGACGAGGATATCGATGGATTGGATACTGCCTATCGTATTATCGCTGACCACGTCCGAACACTCACATTTGCACTCAGTGACGGTGGTGTTCCCAACAATGAAGGTCGAGGGTACGTTCTACGACGAATTCTTCGACGAGGTGCTCGCTACGTCCGCAAGAAATTTGATGTTCCCATTGGTAATTTCTTTTCTCGCCTCGCTCCCACTCTTATTGAGCAAATGAAAGATATTTTCCCCGAACTGACCAAGCGGACTAACGAAGTTTT